AAACGCATTTGTGTTTATGAACGGTATTTCAGGTAGTTTTGTGTCTTTTTGTTCTCACTGTTTCATTGCCACACTTATATTTGCATGAATTTATGTTAACTGTTCTCATGTCCATCCACCCTATATGTTAGAGCCACGGGTTCGTAACAATAAAATGGGGTTTCGTGGGGGGGGGGGGGGGGTCGTCCGGGATTCAGCCCCATGCTACTCATTCAATTAGTAAGTGTCTGGTTCAGTGTTTGAGCTTGGCATCTGTCCTACCTGTTTTTTTTTGTGTTCAGTAGTCGACGGCTCGTGTTGCTATTAGGATGGCTACTTTTGATATTTAGAGGCATTTTTTGGAAAACCCTACGTGGGAGGGGTTTTTGAGATGCCGTAGAGTGGATCTACAAGCTTTGGCTGACCGCACTTTTCTGTACCCATACCGCGGGGTTTATGAAAGCAGAAGTGGGGAGTAGTGCTAGCGATATTGTTAAACTAGCGAAGTGCTTGAGTTTAAACCCTCCGCCTGACCCTGCTTCTCCTGTAGGGGATGTGTTGCTGATCCTGTAAGCCCCATCATGTCTTGAGGACGAGACAAAGGCTCCAGCCACATTGCCCGTTATGACCACTCTCCCCACTTACTATGACAGTGATGCCAGGGAATCGTTTCCTTCGGGGGGTCGACCTGCTCCAAATGGAGGCGGAAGAGCGGGCCCAGATCAGGCAATACAAGCTGGAGATGCGAAGACTAGAGGTAGAACTGGAGACCAAAGCGTATGGCTTAATCAAGCACTGGAGACGCGGTGAGTGGCGCTTATCAAGAACTGGAGACGTAGCTGGACGGGGGGAGGTGCGTAAATGACACTGAGTCAGAAACACGAGGTAGTACGCTTGCACCGTTGCTGTCTGCTAGTGAGCCAATCCTCACCGAGCTGTGTCGGCTGCTACTTTTGATATAGGAGGCAGATCAACCTTGGTATACCTTGTTCAGGGAGTCAGAGGTTTATTTCCTATTGGCAGCGATGTGGGTTTATGGACGTATGCGGATCAATTGAAATGGCTCCAAAGAGGGAGTATGTTCCTAGTCTTCAGTGTAACTAACGGTAAGCAACCACAGAGGTCGATGAGCAGCGCTACCATCACTTGATACAATTTGAAATTATGAAGTGTCCACAGATCCTGGTGTCCTTCGGCCTAATGAGCTTGTTCCTGAGGCATAATACGACGGAAGATTTAGGTCCCTATAAAGGGTCGTCCTGCTCAGACAAGTTGCTTCATTGAGATGTTGCTAGAGACCATAGGGTGAGAGTCTTGTTTGAAACAAATAGGCACAGTGCTAGAAGGTAACGATTTAACTCTCTACGGGTTTATCGTGTTAGAAGAGTTTAGAACATTGGTTGTAACCGGAACGCATTTGTTTATCTAACGCACAAAGTAACCTCACTGTCGGAACGTCTGTATTGGCAGACGAGTTATTGTTGACGGCCTAATGAGACGTGTTTATCGGCTCGTACGGGACCGGGCGGCGCGCTCGGTGATGCTAACTTTTAGGTCCTGAGTCACCAGCAGTCAGCCGGTCACGCGGGGGGCCAAAAATGTGCTTTGCTGGTTGTCTCACAAAGTGCTAATTAGTGTCATAAAAAAAGGTGGGGACATATGGTGTATTAAATGCTTTGCGGCTCGAACCAACCAGGGGATGCCATCAAGCACGCCATGCCGCCACGGGTGTGGTGAGGCTGATTCGTAAAGGGTGTAATGCCGGAATCAGACGGAGCCTCTAGTGACTGTGGTTTGAAAAGTCCCTGTCTCCCAGATCACAGTTAGAACCTTCATTTTTGGGAGGGGTGTATAAAGATAAATTTCTATCTCAGATGACGAAGCGTCTCAGCGTCCAGTTAGAATCTCCTTGCAGAGATACTGGCTTGCGGCGCATCGGTCATACTCGCTGATTGTGTTGCCCTGTCCAGTATACTATGGTGGTTTTCCAGTGTTGTTAGTAACAAAACGGTAGTGAAATGGGATTTGTCCCCCAGGTGTCGCCATTCACTTTGGGAACGTACACGTCTGAGGTTAGTCAGTGGATTGTTCATAGTTGGCGTAACGTCCTAATGGTCCAGTAAAAGGTTGACATTTATAATGGCAACGTATTCGGAGAAAAGGGTGATACCGTTTATAGGTAGTGGATAAAAGTGAACCAGGCTCACACTCCGAGGAGCTGGCACAGGGTTATCCAGAATGTGTTCCCGCTTGTGCTGTCACCCGTGCCAAGCACGACAATTGGGGGAAGTGTAGATAGTTGTTGTCGAACACGATCGTTCAGAGAGTGTGACCCAGGATAGTGGTGGCGGGAAAGTGTACGTACCTCTGGTAAGCTGGTCGCCTGCAGTGCTGACAAACACCCAGAGCAGAACTGAGAAGGATGTTGAACTTGTTGCTGAGGCAATACCAATTTACCAGTACTCGTGACCGCTGATCGCTAACCAACAGGTTACATTAGCCTGGCTAAATGTTTTTTTCTAGTGGTTGTCTAGAGGCCAGCTAAAGAAAAAACATGGGCATACTGTCGGTTGAAAAGGTAATCTCCTCATGCGTAAATGGCATCCCATGTTGACAGCTGGCGAGATGGAATGCATGTTTTACCAACTAGTGATTACCTCCTACAGCCTTTCGACAACTGTTTTAAAAAATCCCTCGCTCAGATCACCATGTCGGACTGCGGGATTCCACCAAGGAACTTATTGATCGTGTTTTGGCGACATTTTCTTTTGGTCTTTTGGCCTAGTTGTGAAACGAGTGTGGCTCGAGTTCTTCTGACTTGCCAATAAACGGGGTGGTGTCAGGTAACTCGGAACCCGAAGAACAGGTTATTTCCCCCGCGCCTCTTTGTCCCATACCGCCATAGGTGAACCATGCGCACATGTGATGGTTGATTGGGGGTGTTGACCATTACCAAAAACAAAAAATCTGCGTAACCATTTATTTTGACAGTTATGTGTGTGGGTGTGGCCACCATACCCAGAGCCATTCCCTCTTCTGCGAAGAGGGGTTAGATAAGGTGTTTGGAGATGCTGCTTGTGTCCTCGTGTGTAATATCTAGGTTTTTTTTTGTTATCCCCTGCAGATGATTTGTGAATTTGGGTGTTGTGATGTACGTGTGTAGCAAACCATTGTGGGTTTGCTCTTTTAGGTGGGAGTGTTACGGATACGGTATCCTGTGTTTTTGTGTTTTCTACTCTGTCTGCCCTAATCACAGGTGTCCTGTAATGTCCTGATTGGTGGTCGTGGATGTCGTCTGATTGGACCAATCAGTGCAAAGTCCCTGTGAAATTGCAACCAACTGTTCTCTTTTGTTCCATCACCATCCCATTTTATATAAAACCAGACTGTTTTATTTAAGTGCAAGAGGGGGGGAAAAGAAAATGACCTTTTTTCCATATGTTGAGTGATGGACCATGGTGGTGTCCTGGTACCCACTAGTTGTTGGTTTTACCCTGTTGGTAACTTATCTTCGACCTATTTCTTTACCTGATTGTCGATACGTTGTGCCCTGTTGGGTGTAGTACTATTTAATTGCTGATACCCCTGTTGGTAGCTTTGTGTGTTTTCGGGGAAAAGGGCGTTTAAGGCAATGTTTCCCTTGGGCGTATAATTACCACCCGTGAATTCAGAAAGCTTCAAAAACACTAGTTAAGACCTGAGCGTAAACCACCGCAACTGTAATTTTTGTATGGTAGCATAGCCCTGCGGTTCTTGAAAGGGGCAGGCAAGATCAGTTTAGGGGGTTTTACACTATTGTTTCATTTCTTGGGTCCTGCTCATGCCCTTTTTCTCCAAACCTTTAAACCTTACCCGTGTGTTTAGAGCAATCACCACCATTTGTGGTTTGACGAAAAGTAAGGTTCATGGTAGTTGTGGTCATTTTTGGTTCTCCTGTTGCAGGCACACTTAACTTTCATCATTTAGGTTACGGGTCTCATGTCCATCCCCCCTAGATTTTTAGGGGCCACGGGGTTCGAAAACAGGAGGAAATAAAACCCGTGAGGGAAGTCCAGGTGGTCCAATGAAGCGCAGATGCCGTAGCGGTGGTGACAGGGTGCGTAATGAGGGCGCCCTGAGGCCAGGGAGGGGGAGCGGGAGGGGCGTGACGGGGATTTTTATATCATCTAGTAAAATTTAGATGAACCCATTGGAAGAAGTGGGTTTGCGACCCCTTATTGCTTCATGTGGGCCAAAAACAACAAAACAAGGGAATTTAAATTTGGGGAAAGGCCCACTGAATAGAAAAAGCTTCTGGTTGGATTTGAAATGTAGGCCGCTTTCCCTGGGGGTCTAGTAGGGGGTCTAATCAGCGGTTCTAGTCAGCGTGTCTAGTCAGCGGGTCTAGTCGGGCGGTCTGGGCAGGTTTCTAGTCAGCGGGCTAGTCGGGGGGTTAAAGGAGCGGTTAGTCAGGGGGGTTAGAAAGGGGTCTAGTCAAGGGTCTAGGTAAGGGGGAAAGTCAGGGTCTGTCAGGGGGGCCCTAGTCAGGGGTTTGTCAGCGGGTTAGTCAAGGGGCTAGTAAAAGGGGTCTAGTCGGGGGGGTCTAGTCAGGGGGTTATCGGGGGGTCTAGTCAGCGGGTCAGTCGGGGGGGTCTAGCAAGGGGTCTGGGCGGGGGGGGTCTAGTCGGGGTTTAGTCAGCGGGTCTTTCAGGGGTCTAGCAGGGGTGTCTAGTAATGGGTCTAGTCAGCGGGTTTTTAGTCGGCGGGTTTCTAGTCGGCGGGGTTTTTGGTCGGGCGGGTTTGGGCGGGGGTCTAGTCAGGGGGTTTTTAAGTCAGGGGGTTTAATCAGGGGGGTCTAGTAAGGGTTTCAATCACGGGTCTAGCAATGCCCTTTTGGCCCCTGTCCTCCCCCCCCTCCAGGGCCCATAGAGGTGTGGAGAATGAGAAAGGCCTGAGAAGGGAGAAAAAACCGGGTTTGGGTTTCCCAAACTGGAGAAATGGTGGAAAAACCCCCCCTTTAATCCTCCCCCTCTTCTTCAGTTTCGACCCCACGTCGCCCCCAAGGAGCAGGTTGGGACCCAGCGGGCCCCTTTCCAAACAGAGGAGGGGGAGGGGAGGGGGGGGAGGAGGCGGAGGGGGAGCAAGAGGCAAGTAACTCAGAGGTTTTGAACCCCAAAAAAAAAACCACTGGGGGACTGGGGGGAGAGGAAAGGGGGCAGGAGGGGGAGGGGGAGCCAGAAAGGCCCCAAAAGGGAATATTTTGATTTGGGTGTGGGGGGGGGACTGACGCAAGGGGAAATTGTGTTTTTGGGGTGTGTGTTTATGTGTAGGGTATGTTTTTAAAGGGAAGGGGTTTTGTGGGGGGGTTTTTTTGGAGGGAGTGTGTGGAGGAGTGGGGGTTTTTTTGGGTTAAGGGTGTGTTTTGTGGGGTGTTTTTTGGGGGAAAGGGGTGGTTTGGGTTTTTTGGGGGTTTGTTTGGGGGGGTGGTTTTTAAAGGGGAGGTGTTTTTGGGGGGGTTTTTTTAAGGGTTGGGTTTTTGTTGGTTTAAATTAAAAAGGGTGGGGTATGATTTGTGTTTTTTAAGGGTGTGTGTCTGTGGGGTTTTTGGGTTTGGGGGGCTGTGTGTATAGTGAAATGTGGGGGTCCAACCCTTTGGTGAGTGTTTTGACACAGAAAGGGGGGTTAGGGGTGTTTGAAGCGGGTGGTGATTGAAGCGGGGTGGTGTTTGAAGCGGGTGTGTGATTGAAGGGGGGTGGGTGATTAAAGGGGGGGTTATTTTTTGAACCCTTTAACACTCTTGGGTTTCATAAAGCGGGGTTTTGGGCCTTTGGTTTTGGTTGGGTTTGTGTGTGTGTGTGGTGTGTGGGTGGGGTGGTGTGTGGGACAGTTTAAAACGCCTTTTCGAACAAAAAAAGTAAAACCCAGAGCTGCGCCCCCAAAAAAACCCCCTTTTCCCCTTTAATAGGAAATACCCAGCTAGCATTTAACGTTCTGAAAAACCATTTTTGTTTTTTTAGACCTTGGGTTTTGAGGGGGGCGGGTTGTCCTTTTGGTTATTTGCATAAAACCCTTCCCAACGTTCTAAAAAAGGTGAGAATGGGTTGTTTGGGCTCTGGAACATTTAAGCACATTTAAGGAACTTGAAAAAAAAAAACGTTTTTTTTCTTGGCATTTTTTTACTTTAACAAAAACTTTCCTAAAAGTTCGAAAATGTACATTCATTTAAAATTTTGGGTAATGTTTGGAATGTTTCCAAAGGGTTTTGGGACTTTGGAAAATTTTTTTTGAAACATTCGTGAACTTTTTTAAGGAAAAACCTTTAAAATTTTCCGTTCCCGGGAAAAAAATTTCAAGGAACCAAAAGTAAAACATTCTCGGGAATCCCCCGGGAAACCCAAAAAAAAAAACTTTCCCAAAGAAACAGGCATAACTTTTTTCGTTTTTGTTCTCAAAAACCCTTAAAAAATTTCTTTTTTTCCCGGTTAGGAAAACGTTTGGCTTCTTTCCCCAAAAACCAATGAAAAAACCCAAAAAACATATGTTCCCCAATTTAGGGAAACCCAAATGCGCTAGCTGGTTATTTATTGGTCAAAATTTGGGTTGCAGTTCGGGGGGGGGCCCGGGCGGGGACTTTTAGCCCCAGACCATTTCATATAATTCCCCAATAACAGTCTACCCCAAAACACACAACACACACCCCAAGGACACACACACACACAGACCCACACAACACACAGAAACACCCCACACACGGGACACACACACACACACACACCAGAACAAACACACAAAAAAGGGGACAACACAGACACACACAGAACACACAAAACCCCAAAAGACACAGACAAGACACACCCAACACCCCACAGACACACACACACACCAAAAACAAAACACTCCACTTTTTCCCCAACTCTGGCCTGCTAGATAGATAAATTAGCTCTAGAAAAAAATTCCCCCTCCCCAGGGGTACAGGTGTACAGTATCTAACCCCAAGTGGTTCTCGCTTGTCCCCCGTTTACCCCAGGAATTTTGGGGGGTTATGGAGAGAGAAAAATTTAATTTTTTCCAAACTTTCAGGAATGGGAAGGGAAAGTTTTTTTTGCCTTGTCAGGGCTAATTTCTGGTCCTTTCCAAAATAGTTTCTTTGGGTTTTTAATTTTTTTGTAGGTGGGGGGGGGGGGGTAGAAGGGTGCATCTGGGCCCTTTTAAATTTTGAAATTTTTACCAAAGTTTTGGGAGAGTTGGTTAGGAGGTGGGGGGTGTGGCCTGAGCTTAAAAGTTTAAAGGTTTTGTATCAGTCAGCAGAGGAAATGTTTAAGGGATTTCATTTAAATTTTCCTTTCAAGATCATTGGAACTGAATCTCAGAAACCCCTTTCCAAAAAAACATTAACATAGGGAAAACACCCGGGGCTCATTTGAATGTTTAAAAGTCAGAAAAAAAGCCCGGAAATTTTATCGAATGGTTAAAAAGTCAGAAAACAGCCCGGATCATCTTTAATGTGCTTTTGGGGCAAGACGAAATATTTGATTAGATTTTTTTCACCTAATTTTAGGAGGTTTTTTGAGAGTTAAAAGTGCCCCGGGGTATTATAGAGTTTAAAAGTGCCCAGGGGTATTAAGAGAGTTAAAAGTTTCCCCGAGTATTATGGAGTTAAAAAGTGCCCAAGAGTTTTTAGAGAGTTAAAAATGCCCCGAGTATTTTAGAGAGTTTAACAGGGGGCCCCGCACCCACCAAAAACCCGGCTAGAACCTGGCTGCCAGCAACGCATTTTAAATTGTTTTTGGTCAGAAGCTTTCCCGGAAGGATATTTAGGAAAACATAGCTAAAATGATCTCAAAGCCCACCACAACCCAAAAAAGCTGAAGGAATCCAGGGAAAAAATGCTAAAATGATCTCAATGCTTTACCCCAACAAAAAAGCTGAAGGATATCCCGGGGAAAAAATAGCTTAAAAAGAAACCAAGGTCACCACAACAAACAGCTGAAAGGGAACCAGGAAAAACTAGTAAAAAAGGGTTCAAAATTTTCACCCCAAAAAAACAGTGAAGGTATCCAGGAAAAACATAGTAAAATGATCTAAATTTTCAAAAACAACAAAAAAACTGGGAAAGGGTATCCCCGGAAAAAATAGCTTAAAAAAGATCTAATTTCACCACAACAAAAAAGTGAAGGATTTTCCAGGAAAAATAGATAAAATGAAACCTTTAATGGAAATTTTAAACCAACCCCAAAACAGCTGAAGGGGTATTCGGAAAAAATAGCTAAAAAAGATCTCAATGTCACCACAAAAAAAAAAGGGTGAAGGATATCCCGGAAAAAATAGCTAAAAAAGAACTCCCAAAAACTCACCCCAAAAAAAAAGCTGAAGGAATTTCCAGGAAAACATAGCTAAAATTATCTAAAGCCCCACCACAACAAACAGTGAAGGTATCCAGGAAAAAAATAGCTAAAAAGATCTCAAAAACTCACCACAACAAACAGCTGAAAAGGTTTTCCGGAAACATAGCTGAAAAAAGAAAATTTAATTTCACCACAACAAAAAAGGGTGAAGGATATCCAGGGGGAAAAAATAGCCAAAATGATCTCAATGCTATTACAACAAAAGCTTTAAGGATATTTGGAAAAAAATAGCTTAAAAAAAGGGAATTTTCCCAAGCTCCCACAAAAAAAACAGCGGGAAAGGGGAAACCAAAGGAAAAAAATAGTAAAATTCTCAATTCTCACCAAAAACAAACAGTGAAAAGGGTATTGGAAAAAATAGCTTTAAAAAGCCCCACCACAACAAAAAAAAATTTTACAATGTTTAAAAAAATAGGTTTTCTCTAAAGGAAAGTAGGGGCATCTTGGCAGTATAATTAAATTTTAAAAAAAATTTAAAATTAATATTTCCATTTTGCAGACGCTTTTATCCAAAGCGGGCTTTTCAGTAAAGGGGGGTACATTTTTTTTGTTTTTGGTGGTTTGGGGGCCCGGGGGTCGAGACAAAATAAATGAGAATTTTTGTCCTTTCCGGGAAAAGGAAAAAGGGAACCTTTTCCCCCCCGATACGTGATCAAACTGATATCAGAGGGGGCTTGGTGGGATGTATCACGGAGGAATTTGGGGCATGCCCCGGGTCGAAAGTGAACCAGAAGATTTCAAATAACCTCGAATGGAATCTTTAAGCTGTGGAACCATCAGACCCAAAATCAACATTTTGAAAGACAAGGGGGGGGAAAAGGGGAAAAAAAGGTCCAGGGCCCGGGCCTTCCCTTTATCCCGGGGCCTGTCTGCTAGACTGAGGAAAAAAAAAAGCCAGCAAAATTTATTTTTAATTTAGGGCATCAAGGGGAAACAAGTCTCAACTTCGATTTTCGGCAAATACTGGGGTAGGGGAAAGGGGAAACAGGGGAATGGGTGAAAAAAAGGGCCCATTTAAGGGCCCGGGAAAAGGGTGCAGGAAAACCCTTTCCCGTTGAAGAAAAAATCCCCGTGCCCCGAGGAAAAGACATTGACTACTACAGTGATGCCCAAGGGCCCCGCTTATGTTAAATTGAGAAAAAAGTTTTTCCCCCCTTTCCCCCCAAAACAATGACGTATTTTCCCTAAGTTAAAGGGTTTTCTGGAAAAAAAAAATATAATTAGCCGAGCAAATGGATAATGGCAATAAAAGACAAATATAAAACAGGAAACCCAAAACATGTATGTAAATTGTAAAAAATTTTTTAGTGTCGGCATAGAATGGGAGGGTGAGGAGGGTGAAAGGGGGGGTGTTTGTGGAGGAGTGGTGAAGGGGGGTTGGGGTGTGGAGGGGGGGGAAATGGATGTGGGGGGGGAGGAGTGGGGGAAAAGGGAGATGGTGTGGAGGGTGGTGAAGGGGGATGTGTTGGAGGGGGAGTTGGGGGGAAGGGGGATGTGTGTGGAGGAGTGGTGAAGGTGGATGTGTGGGGGAGGAGTGGTGAAGGTATAAAGTGGGTGGTGAAGGGAAAAGTGTGTGGAGGAGTGGTGTGAAGGGAGATTGTGTGGGAGGAGTGGTGAAGGTAGATGTGTGTGGAGGAGTGGTGAAGGTAGATGTGTGTGGAGGAGTGGTGAAGGTGGATGTGTGTGGAGGAGTGGTTTAAAGGGGGGAGGGGGCTTTTGGAGGGAAAATGGGAAGGTTTGAGTGTGTGGGGAGTGGTTTAAGGTAGTGGTTGGGGAGTTTGGGGAAAGGGGGATGTGTGTGGGGGAGGGGGGGGAAGGTGGGTGGTGGGGAGGAGTGGTGAAGGTGGAAAGGGGGGGGGGGGGGAGGGGAAAGGGGGGTTTTTGAAAGGGGATTTTTGAAAGGGGAGTGGTGGAAGGGGGGGATTGGGGGGAGTGGGGAAGGGGGAGTGGGAAGGGGGGTGAAGGTTTGGGGGGTGTGGGGGGTGTGTAGTTAGGGGTGGATCTTAAGGGGGGTTGGGGGGGGGCAAGGGGGAAAGACAGAGGTGGGGGTAAAAGGGGTGGATGGGTTTTAAAAAGGGGGTAAGGGGTTTGGAGGGGGGAAAAAACTGGGCCGGGAAAGGGTTAAAGGGGGGGTAAGGGAAAGGGGGTGGGGAGAAAATGGGGGCCCGGGGGGTAAAGGGGGGGGGGGGGGGGGGGGGGGGGGGGGGTAAGGATAGGAGGTGGGGATAAACTGGGCCTGGATGGGTAAAGGGGGGGGAGGATAGGAGGTGGGGGTAAAACTGGGCCCGGGGGGGGTAAAGGGGGGGTAAGGATAGGAGGTGGGGGGTTAAAAAATGGGCCCGGATGGGGTAAAGGGGGGGTACGATAGGAGGTGGGGAAAACGGGCCCCGGAGGGGGGGGGGGGGGGGGGGGGGTGGTAAGGAAAAGGAAATGGGGCCTTTTTTTTTTTTAAGGGGGGGATAAAAATGGGGATTTGGGTGGGAAAGGGGGGGGGGAAGGATAGGAGGTGGGGATAAACTGGGCCTGGATGGGTAAAGGGGGGGGGGGGACGGGGTGGAGGGTGGGGGATTAAAAATGGGGCCCGGGTGGGGTTTAAAGGGGGGGGAGGGTGGAGGGGGGGGTAAACTGGGGCCGGGGGTGGGGGAAAGGGGGGGGGGATGATAGGAGGTGGGGGGTTAAAACTGGGCCTTTGGGTGGGTGGGGGGAAAGGGGGGGGGAAGGGTAGGAGGTGGGGATTTAAAAGGGCCCGGAGGGGGGAAAGGGGGGGGAAAGGGGGGGAGGTGGGGTAAAATGGGCCATGGGAAAAGGGGGGGGGGGGTAAGGGGAAGGGGGGTGGGGATAAACTGGGCCTGGATGGGTAAAGGGGGGGGGGGGGGGTTGGGGAAAAAGGGGGGGGGGGGGGGGGTAAGGGTAGGAGGGGGGGGGAAAAAAATGGGCCTGGATGGGGGAAAGGGGGGGGGTTTTAAGGGTAGGAGGTGGGGAAAAAAACGGGGCCCCCGGGTGGGTAAAGGGGGGGGGGGGGGAAGGAAAGGGGGTGGGGATATAAACGGGGGCCTGGAGGGGGGAAAAGGGGGGGGGGGTTTTAAAGGGTAGGAGGTGGGGTAAAATGGGCCCCGGGGTGGGGAAAGGGGGGGTGGTAAGGTAAAGGAGGTGGGGATAAACTGGGCCTGGATGGGTAAAGGGGGGGGGGAAGGAAAAGGAGGGGGGATAAACTGGGCCTGGATGGGGAAAGGGGGGGGAAGATAGGAGGGGGGGGAAAAATGGGGCCCGGAGGGGTTTAAAGGGGGGGGAAGGATAGGAGGGGGGGATAAAAATGGGCCGGGGTGGGTTTAAAGGGGGGGGGTAAGGGTAGGAGGTGGGGAAAAAAACTGGGCCGGGGGGGTTTAAAGGAAGGGTTTAAGGGGAAGGGGGGGGGGATAAATGGGCCGGGTGGGTTTAAAGGGGGGGGGAAGGGTAGGAGGGGGGATAAAAGGGAGGAGGGGTTTTTTTAAAAAGGGGGTAAAAAGGGGTAGGAGGTGGGGGGGTTTAAAAAAGGGGCCCGGATGGGGAAAGGGGGGGGGTAAGGATAGGAGGTGGGGATAAAATCCCCTGGAAAAAGGGGGTTTAAAGGGGGGGGGGTAAGGATAGGAGGGGGGGGAAAATTAAACTTTTTTTTTTGGGGGCCCGGATGGGTTTAAAAAGGGGGGGGGAAAGGGTAGGTCGGGGGGGGTAGATAACTTTTAAAGGCCTGGGTGGGTAAAGGGGGGGGGGGTTTAAAGGGTGGGGGGGGGTGGGGAAAAAAAACTGGGCCCGGGGTGGGTTTTAAAGGGGGGTAAAGGGTAGGAGGTGGGGATTGGGTGGGGTAAAGGGGGGGGTTAAAAGGGGGGGTAAGGATAGGAGGTGGGGATAAACTGGGCCTGGAGGGGTAAAGGGGGGTGGGATAGGAAAAGGGGGCCAAAATTATTTAAAAGGGTGGGGGTTTAAAAAAAAGGGGGTAAGGGTAAAGGTTTTAAAAGGAAAAAGGGGGGGGGGAAGGAAAACTGGGGGCCGGGTGGGAAAGGGGGTAAAAGGATAAAAGGGGGTGGGGGATAAAAAGGGGCCCGGAAGGGGGTCAAGGGGGTAAAGGAGAGGAGGGGGGCCCAAAACTGGGCCCGTTCCCACTGATTCTCCACCCACCATTCCACCCTGCAATGAAACATCCACAGCATGATGCTTCCACCACCATGCTTCACTGTGGGGATGGTGTTCTCGGGGTGATGAGAGGTGTTGGGTTTGCACCAGACATAGCGTTTTCCTTGATGGCCAAAATGCTCAATTTTAGTCTCATCTGACCAGAGTACCTTCTTCCATGTGTTTGGGGGGTCTCCCACATGCCTTTTGGCGAACACCAAACGTGTTTGCTTATTTTTTTCTTTAAGCAATGGCTTTTTTCTGGCCACTCTTCCGTAAAGCCCAGCTCTGTGGAGTGTACAGCTTAAAGTGGTCCTATGGACAGATACTCCAATCCCCGCTGTGGAGCTTTGCAGCTCCTTCAGGATTATCTTTGGTCTCTTTGTTGCCTCTGATTAATGCCCTCCTTGCCTGGTCTGTGAGTTTTGGTGGGCGGCCCTCTCTTGGAAGGTTTGTTGTGGTGCCATATTCTTTCAATTTTTTAATAATGGATTTAATGGTGCTCTGTGGGATGTTCAAAGTTTCTGATATTTTTTTAAATAATCCAACCCTGATCTGTACTTCTCCACAACTTTATCCCTGACCTGTTTGGAGAGCTCCTTCTTCATGGTGCCGCTTGCTTGGTGGTGCCCCTTGCTTATTGGTGTTGCAGACTGGGGCTTTTGAGAACAGGTGTGTGTATATATATATACTGAGATCATGTGACAGATCATGTGACACTTAGATTGCACACGTGGACTTTTTTTAACTAATTATGTGACTTCTGAAGGTAATTGGTTGCACCAGATCTTATTTATTATTATCTGTTATTTACCAGATCTTAGCCTATTTGTGTCTTTTTAGAGCAGGAAGACAATCTGTGTCCACAGCCACAATCAGACAATCAGCTAAAATAAAATGCATCATTTGAAGAACAAATCGTGGCGAGTCATAAAATAGTCCTGATCATAAAGACCTAGTCAATATCCAAAACAACTAACAATAAACTGAAATCAGACATTTTGTTTATTGTAAAATCTTGTCTTTCTCATCAATGCCACAACTAATTTCACCAATCTGGGAGTTAAACTCATAAAGTATTGAATCATTTAGCTGTGTATTTAGGATGGAATCAAGCCATTAGAATGTACCGGAGGCCACCAAAACAGAGCTTGTTCGAAATAGAAATCCCCTGGGGGGGGTCATGCCCCCGGACCCCCCTACGCAGCCCAGAACGTCCTGGTTAGCTACGTTTCTATTTGGCTGGCTACTACTGTGTACTGCCTTATACTGACAGTATTTTCTCTCTCTGTTTCTGCTTCTCTCTCTCTCTTTCTATTTCTCCCTCTCTCCCCACCCCTGTCTCCCTCTCTCCTTCCCTGTCTCCCTCTCTCCCCACCCCTGTCTCCCTGCCTTCCCTCTTTCTGTCTATCTGTCCCCCCCCACTCCCTTTCCTTCCCTCCAGACGGAGACGGTGGCTGGAGTAACTGGTCTCCGTGTAGTGTAACCTGTGGGAACGGGAACCAGAAGAGGACCAGGTCATGTGGTTACGCCTGCAGCGCCACCGAGTCACGCACCTGTGACATGCCATCCTGCCCAGGTGAGGAGGGAGGGTGTATGTGTGTGTGTGTGTGTGTGTGTGTGTGTGGATCTAGGGTTGTAATCATTGTTCCTAACCATAGATAACAGTTGCAATTAAAACCTACATTTATATTGGACAAATTCAGGTAGGTCCCTCTCCATGTTGTAGTGTCATCAGTTAAATGTGCTTTTAAAGGTGTTTTCTACTTGAGTCGACATCTGCAGCATTTACTGCCGACATGATCTTCGTGAACATCGGGGAAATTGAAAAGTCTATCGCTGTGCAAAGGTCATTCTTCTGTGTTTGAATCCGGCTTAGTTTACCAGCGCTGGGGTTTATTATGGATCCCCATTAGTTCCTGTCAAGGCAGCAGCTACTCTTCCTGGGGTTTATTATGGATCCCCATTAGTTCCTGCCAAGGCAGCAGCTACTCTTCCTGGGGTTTATTATGGATCCCCATTAGTTCCTGCCAAGGCAGCAGCTACTCTTCCTGGGGTTTATTATGGAACCCCATTAGTTCCTGTCAAGACAGCAGCTACTCTTCCTGGGGTTTATTATGGATCCCCATTAGTTCCTGCCAAGGCAGCAGCTACTCTTCCTGGGGTTTATTATGGACCCATTAGTTCCTGCCAAGGCAGCAGCTACTCTTCCTGGGGTTTATTATGGATCCCCATTAGTTCCTGCCAAGGCAGCAGCTACTCTTCCTGGGGTTTATTATGGATCCCCATTAATTCCTGCCAAGGCAGCAGCTACTCTTCCTGGGGTCCAGCCAAAATAAGGCAGTTATATACAGTTGAAAACATTACAATACATTTCACAATAGATTTCACAACACATTGTGGTCTCTCAGGCCACTACTCTACTACATTTTAGTCATTTAGCAGACGCTCTTATCCAGAGCGACTTACAGTTAGTGAATACATATTTTTTTTTTATACTGGCCCCCCGTGGGAATTGAACCCACTCTATCAACTGAGCTACATCCCTGCCGGCCATTCCCTCCCCTACCCTGGACGACACTGGGCCAATTGTGCGCCGCCCATGAGTCTCCCGGTCGCGGCTGGCTGCGACAGAGCCTGGATTCGAACCAGGATCTCTAGTGGCACAGTTAGCAATGCGATGCAGTGCCTTAGACCACTGCGCCACTCAGGAGTACTACCACATATCTAAAACACAAAATCCGTGTGTGTGTGTGTGTGTGTGTGTGTGTGTGTGTGTGTGTGTGTGAGAGAGAGAGTGTCTCTTAACAGTATGCGCTGTTCCAAAAGGTGTATTTGTATCTGTTTTTTAAATCTAATTTTACTGCTTGCATCAGTTACTTGATGTGGAACAGAGTTCCACGTAGTCATGGCTCTATGTAGTACTGTGCGCCTTCCATAGTCTGTTCTGGACTTGGGGACTGTGAAGAGACCTCTGGTGGCATGTCTTGTGGGGTATGCATGGGTCCGAGCTGTGTGCTAGTAGTTTAAACAGACAGCTCGGTGTATTCAACATGTCAATACCTCTCACATACAAGTAGTGATGAAGTCGATCTCTCCTCTACTTTGAGCCAGGAGAGACTTACATTATTAATGTTAGCTCTCCGTGTACATTTTAAGGGCCAGCCGTGCTTCCCTGTTCTGGGTCAATTGTAATTTTCCTAAGTCCCTCTTTTGTGACACCTGACCACACGACTGGACAGTAGTCCAGGTGCGACAACTAGGGCCTGTAAGACCTGCCTTGTTGATAGTCTTGTTAAGAAGCGCTTTATTATAGATGTAAAGTGATAAGTTTGTCTGTTGCATCATTCACTGGCCATGTCTCTGTGTGCAGGTATAGAAGATGCGTTCGAGACAGCCGTCACTGAAGTCAGTCTGCGGGCTGGAACAGATGAGTTCAACGCTACAGAGCTATTTGGTGTCGGTAAGATTCTTCTCTCATTTACTATTTGTTTTCATCATTTTTCACTTCAGATCATCCCTCCATCGATGTGTCAGGTTCTTCAAACGTGATTCTATTTAGCATTAGTGTCCAGCTCAGGGTTGGGGTTCCATGTCTATTCAGTCAATTCCATGTCTATTCAGTCAATTCCAGTTCGAATTTCAGTTTACTTCCTGAATCTACTGAATTGTAATGGATTTAACTTAACTCCAAACTCTGGTCCATTCTTCCCAGAACATTGATTTGAGTGGGAATGACTATTATCTATTCTAGTCATTCTATTTCTATGGTCCACCATGCACAGCTCCGCCTTCCTGGACCTGCTGATCATTCCTCAGACCTTCACTGGGATGGAGGAGGAGAAAGAGGAGGACAGGAAGAGCAGAGCATGCTGGTCCCAATAACATGCTCTGCTCTGCGATCTGAGTAACCAATCTGGCCCAAAAAAACCATGCTCTGCTCTGATCTGGTCCCAATCTGGTCCCAAAATGCTGCTCTGATCTGGTCCCAATAACATGCTTGACTCTGTCTGGTCCCAAAAACATGCTCTGCCTCTGTCTGGTCCCAATCTGGTACCAATAACATGCTCTGACTTGATTGCCCAAAAACATGCTCTGCTCTGATCTGGTCCCAATCTGGTCCCAAAAACATGCTCTGCTCTGATCTGGTCCCAATAACATGCTCTGCTCTGATCTGGTCCCAATCTGGTCCCAATGACATGCTCTGCTCTGATCTAGTCCCAATGACATGCTCTGCTCTGCGATCTGGTCCCAATCTGGTCCCAATAACATGCTCTGCTCTGATCTGGTCCCAATCTGGTCCCAATAACATGCTCTGCTCTGATCTGGTCCCAATCTGGTCCCAATAACATGCTCTGCTCTGATCTGGTCCCAATAACATGCTCTGCCCTGTGATCTGGTCCCAATAACATGCTCAGCTCTGTGATCTGGTCCCAACCTGGTCCCAATAACATGCTCTGCTCTGTGATCTGGTCCCAATCTGGTCCCAATAACATGCTCTGCTCTGGTCCCAATCTGGTCCCAATAACATGCTCTGCTCTGCGATCTGGTCCCAACCTGGTCCCAATAACATGCTCTGCTCTGTGATCTGGTCCCAATCTGGTCCCAATAACATGTTCTGCTCTGATCTGGTCCCAATCTGGTCCCAATAACATGCTCTGCTCTGATCTGGTCCCAATCTGGTCCCAATAACATGCTCTGCTCTGGATCTGGTCCCAATCTGGTCCCAATAACATGCTCTGCTCTGTGATTTGGTCCCAATATGGTCCCAATAACATGCTCTGCTCTGTGATCTGGTCCCAATCTGGTCCCAATAACATGCTCTGCTCTGTGATCTGGTCCCAATCTGGTCCCAATAACATGCTCTGCAATCTGGTCCCAATAACATGCTCTGCTCTGTGATCTGGTCCCAATCTGGTCCCAATAACATGCTCTGCCCTGCGATCTGGTCCCAACCTGGTCCCAATAACATGCTCTGCCCTGCGATCTGGTCCCAACCTGGTCCCAAAAACATGCTCTGCGATCTGGTCCCAATCTGGTCCCAATAACATGCTCTGCCCTGCGATCTGGTCCCAATTTGGTCCCAATGACATGCTCTGCGATCTGGTCCCAATCTGGTCCCAATAACATGCTCTGCTCTGCGATCTGGTCCCGATCTGGTACCAATCTGGTCCCAATAACATGCTCTGCCCTGCGATCTGGTCCCAATCTGGTCCCAATAACATGCGCTGCGATCTGGTCCCAATAACATGCTCTGTGATCTGGTCCCAATCTGGTCCCAATAACATGCTCTGCGCTGCGATCTGGTCCCAATCTGGTCCCAATAACATGCTCTGCTCTGCGATCTGGTCCCAATGACATGCTCTGCTCTGCGATCTGGTCCCAATCTGGTCCCAATAACATGCGCTGCGATCTGGTCCCAATAACATGCTCTGCTCTGTGATCTGGTCCCAATCTGAGAGAGAGGCAAGTGAGAAGATAGAGAGAGAGTAAAAGAGATCTAGATCCAGACTAACTAACTCTCTCTGATCTCTTCCAGACACAGACAGCTGTAGAGATAGATCCAGACTAACTAACTCTCTTTGATCCCTTCCAGACACAGACAGCTGTAGAGATAGATCCAGACTAACTAACTCTCTTTGATCTCTTCCAGACACAGACAGCTGTGAACGCTGGATGAACTGTAAGTCTGAGTTCCTGAAGAAATACATGACTAAAGTCTCCAACGACCTCCCCAGCTGCCCTTGCTCCTACCCCACCGAGGTGGCCTACAGCACGGCCGACGTCCCCGACCCGGCCACGCGCCGGGACTTCCGCTGGAAAGACGCCAGCGGCCCCAAGGAGAAGCTAGAGATCTACAAACCCACGGCCCGGTACTGCATCCGCTCCACGTTAACTCTAGAGTCCACGACTCTGGCCGCACAGCACTGCTGCTACGGTGACAACATGAAGCTCATCACCCGCGGAAAAGGAGCGGGAACGCCAAACCTCATCAGCACGGAGTTCTCTGCCGACCTCCACTACAAGGTAGACATCCTGCCCTGGATCATCTGTAAGGGGGACTGGAGCCGCTATAACCAGGCCAGGCCACCTAGCAACGGGCAGAAGTGTCCGGACAACCCCCTGGATGAGGATTACCACAAACAGGTGGAGGAGGCATGGGAGTTTTAGAACCTGAGAGATGAACGTATGAAGGGGGGGGAAAAAAAACCAAAAACTGATCTGAAATATTTGTAATGAATCTGGTACTTCAAATGGTGCTTCAAACCATCCAAGGCTAGGGGCAGTCTGTTGATATCAGCCAACGTGATGAAGAGACAACGTATCGCTCACTTGGACGCAAGTTATTGTCCTCCACAGAGACTGTGGGCTCTATTTGAACCTAACACAACGGTCAATCTAAGCACTGGCGGTAGTGCAATAGGTTCGGGGGGGTGTGTCAGAAATACTTTTGCTATTTTCATAACCAGAATTATTGTAGCAGTAGCGCAAAAGGGTTTTGATTTAATAAATAAAAGTTGATGGTACAGTATGTCGAAGGCTTGGCCAATCAGAACGTGCTCCATGGCTAAATATGTGGTTGCTTCAAGTTGTGTTTTTACGGTCTTGTATGTATTGCGTTGTCATCAACTCCAATTAGGATGTTAGTCCGTTAGTTGGTTAAACAGCCAACAGAAACAAGATAACAATTGTAGGCCTATCCCATATTTGCTAAACATGTTGAACATGTTTTTGAACAGTAATTGCATGGCTTCAACATGTAACTATATATTGTTAAAATTGACACTGATATAGACTTACTGTAACATGCATTATGTCTGAGCCAAAGGTCAATAAATCAAAATCATATTTTATTTTTTCACATGCACGAATACAACAGGTTTAGACTTTACAGTGAAACGCTTCCCCACGATGCAGAGCAAGATTAAACCCACTAATGATTAGACCTAAAAAGATAGTGAATAATTCTAATAAAACGAAACAACTTGTTTTTTAATTGGCTATATCTAAATACAGAAGTTACCATCATCGCTCCCCACGGGCATGTAATATTAGGCATAAGACAACGTAGACTATGGAGGGTTTTACACACATCCAAACTTTTCACAGGAGCTGGATAAAGATCCAATATACAGAGAAAGGGGGAACGTCCACTACCATCACTGTTGATATGGCCAGTAGTGACTTGGCCAGTAGTGACTTGGCCAGTAGTGGATGACTTGGCCAGTAGTGACTTGGCCAGTAGTGACTTGGCCAGTAGTGACTTCCTGGCCAGCGTGCCATAGCATGACTTGGCAGCAGTGACTGGCCAGTATGTGACTTTGGCCAGCGTGAAAGATAAAAAACACAGAACAGGCTACTAGACTGGCTACAAGTGGCCGGTTCAGCACCACAGACAGCGAATTCCCGCCAATTTGACAGTTATGTCCAACAGAGGAAGGTGGAAGATGCATAAAAACCCCGAGATAAACAATAAGCAGTCTTTTAAAAATAACTTGATGTTCCTAAAACAGCTTCCCTGACAGAACTGACACCTTTCATGCAATGGGAATCGCACATTTTCAGTCCAAACGTTTCACAGAAGATGGACAAAAAATAATGTCCAATATAAATAAAAGAAGCGGAAGGACAGTTTGTTGACAGTTTTGCTACTCGTGATATTTTTATAAAACATCGAATGTACAAAACATTAGGAATATTGGGTGGTGGACCATTCTTGATACACACGGGAAACTGTTGAGCGTGAAAAACCCAGCAGCGTTGCAGTTCTTGACACAAACCGGTGCGCCTGGCACCTACTACCATACCCCGTTCAAAGGCACTTAAATATTTTATCTTGCCCTTTTACCCTCTGAAATGGCACACGTACACAATCCATGTCTCAATTGTCTCAAGGCTTAAAAATCCTTCTTTAACCTGTCTCCTCCCCTTCATCTACACTGGTTTGAAGTGGATTTAACAAGTGACATCAATAAGGGATCATAGATTTCACCTGGATTCACCTGGTCAGTCTATGTTTTGTCCAGTCAGTGTACATAATGCTACTGCCTCCACTGTCTAAATCCATTTCATAACCCTAACCCTAACCCTAACCTTAACCTTAACCTTAACCCTAAATCCATTTCATAACCTTAACCCTAACCTTAACCCTAACCCTAACCCTAACCCTAACCCTAACCCTAACCTTAACCCTAACCCTAACCCTAACCCTAATTCCATAACCAGTGTTGTTACCCCTAAGACCATCTTTTGGACTTTAAATATCCCAAGTTGTGTTCACTGAAATTGGCATATTGGCTCACATTTTAAAGGACACACCTCAAATATTTCCACCTCTCCCATCTCAGCGCAAGCCAGCTGATGTAAGACCGGTAAATTGCCAAACCTGGCGTTAGGGCTGGAAAATGCCAGTGCAACAGTTTTTACATGACGAGATTGCAAACTAACGTGAGTTTGAAACTTGGGCCTCCTTGCCGCCAGACAAACATCGTATCATAACATAACCTCCTTACCGCCAGACGAACATCGTATCATAACATAACCTCCTTACCGCCAGATGAACATCGTATCATAACATAACCTTCTTACCGCCAGATGAACATAGTATCATAACATATCAATTTAATGATCAATGTAATGATCAATATAATGATTCAAAGTAAAACTGTATGATTGATTTTGCCAATATTCTGTCTGATAACTCTTTAAGTGTTGGGGTTGAAAGGGAGAGCTTGGTGTAGCTTCATAAAAAGGGGAAAATGTATTTTCATCTTGTAGGTTTTTCTGTCATTTTCATTTGTTTCTGATTGGTCAAATGGAAAACCCAGGGATCCCCATTGCCCAATTGGACACTATGTTTTGAGTGACACCCACCCTGACCCATCAGAAGATATATAATAATATGCCATTTAGCAGACGCTTTTATCCAAAGCGACTTACAGTCATGTGTGCATACATTTTTGTGTATGGGTGGTCCCGGGGATCGAACCCACTACCTTGGCGTTAACAAGCGCCGTGCTCTACCAGCTGAGCTACAGAGGACCACAATATAGAGAGAGACACCCCTGACCTATCAGAAGATATATATATATAGAGAGAGAGACACCCCTGACCTATCAGAATCAGAAAGGGTCTCTGTGCTGTGGATAATACAGTTATCACATTGGAGCTGAGTGCATGGGGGAGGAGCGACATCGGAAACCAGAACCAAATGTTGTGTGTTCGCTGTGACATTTATGTTAAGTTCTGTCACGAGAGAGTGAAGAACCATGTCCAGAACCTGTGGCGGGATGTGTTACCATTCTACTAGCTTCCCGCTGCCAGACATATCACACAGAATGGCTGTGGTCAAGGCTAGCTTCCTGCCCTCCACTCTACCCTGTGGATTTCCTCCCTCCAGGTCATTCTGCCCTCCACTCTACCCTGTGGATTTCCTCCCTCCAGGTCATTATGCCCTCCACTCTACCCTGTGGATTTCCTCCCTCCAGGTCATTCTGCCCTCCACTCTACCCTGTGGATTTCCTCCCTCCAGGTCATTCTGCCCTCCACTCTACCCTGTGGATTTCCTCCCTCCAGGTCATTATGCCCTCCACTCTACCCTGTGGATTTCCTCCCTCCAGGTCATTCTGCCCTCCACTCTACCCTGTGGATTTCCTCCCTCCAGGTCATTCTGCCCTCCACTCTACCCTGTGGATTTCCTCCCTCCAGGTCATTCTGCCCTCCACTCTACCCTGTGGATTTCCTCCCTCCAGGTCATTCTGCCCTCCACTCTACCCTGTGGATTTCCTCCCTCCAGGTCATTCTGCCCTCCACTCTACCCTGTGGATTTCCTCCCTCCAGGTCATTCTGCCCTCTACTCTACCCTGTGGATTTCCTCCCTCCAGGTCATTATCTCCAGTGTAAAAATCCTGCAAAGTATTTATTAAGTTGTACCTTCATTTCCCAGTGTTGGGTGTGCATGATTATGGTCGCTGATTGGTTAATGGCTGAGTGCTAACTTGAGATACACCTAGCAACAATCAGACTTGAGATACACCTAGCAACACTCAAACTTGAGATACACCTAGCAACACTCAAACTTGAGATACACCTAGCAACACTCAAACCTGAGATACACCTAGCAACAATCAAACCTGAGATACACCTAGCAACAATCAGACTTGAGAAACACCTAGCAACACTCAAACTTGAGATACACCTAGCAACACTCAAACCTGAGATACACCTAGCAACAATCAGACTTGAGATACACCTAGCAACACTCAAACTTGAGATACACCTAGCAACAATCAGACTTGAGATACACCTAGCAACACTCAAACTTGAGATACACCTAGCAACACTCAAACTTGAGATACACCTAGCAACACTCAAACCTGAGATACACCTAGCAACACTCAAACTTGAGATACACCTAGCAACAATCAGACTTGAGATACACCTAGCAACACTCAAACTTGAGATACACCTAGCAACAATCAGACTTGAGATACACCTAGCAACACTCAAACTTGAGATACACCTAGCAACACTCAAACTTGAGATACACCTAGCAACACTCAAACTTGAGATATACCTAGCAACACTCAGACTTGAGATACACCTAGCAACACTCAAACTTGAGATACACCTAGCAACAATCAGACTTGAGATACACCTAGCAACACTCAAACTTTAGCTTAAATCATTCTTTAATGTCGATCTTTGCGCCAAAGCTTTGAGTTAGCCCGTCCATCATCGTCTCAAGTTAGGATTCCGCCCAGTAGTAGAGAGGAAGGAATACGTGAATACAGTTCTTGTGATATACATTTTTTAATAAAAAACATGAAGTAACATTTCTGAGAAAACGTGCATCCCATCTTTATGTGACCTGACATTTATCCATGATATACACACAGCGTACCAAACATTAAGGACACCTGCTCTTTCCATGACATAGACTGACCAGGTGAATCCAGGTGAAAGCTATGATCCCTTATTGATGTCACTTGTTAAATCCACTTCAAATCAGTGTAGATGAAGGGGAGGAGACAGGTTAAAGAAGGATTTTTTAAGCCTTCAGACAATTGAGACATGGGTTGTGTATGTGTGCCATTCAGAGGGTGAATGGGCAAGACAAAAGATTGAAGTGCCTTTGAACGGGGTATGGTAGTAGGTACCAGACACACCAG